GCGCAGGTTCGCTGCTACGATTCATCGCAGTATCTACCTCAGCCAGCGTTTGTCCCTCTCCTCTGCTGTTGAAGAACAGTCTGTTTGACATTCACCCTCGCCTCAAGCTAGTTCAAATCTAGTCTGAATAAGAATAAGTGGACCCACTGGCGCGAACCCACCCCATTTATTCGTAGGTATGCAGCGACCCCGAGGCAATTTCTCCAAACGATGGACAAGGGCAGATTTATTAATCTAACCGGCCGAGCATCTTGGTTCCATGCCGATTGATAGGTGCCACAGCCACTTCATGCACTGATTTTTGGCTTTCTAAATGGCCTAATTATCTAAACGGTAGTTATGAGAGAATACCTTGAAGTCCATGCACTGGCTGGGGCTAGGGCAGATTTATTAATCTAACCAGCCGAGCATCTTAGTCCCATGCCGATTGATATGTGCCACAGCCACTTCATGCACTGATTTTTGGCTTTCTAAACGGCCTAATAATCTAAACGGCAGTTATGAGAGAATGCCTTGAAGTCCATGCACTGGCTGGGGCTAGAGCAGATTTATTAATCTAACCGGCCGAGTATCTTGGTCCTATGCCGATTGATATGTGCCACAGCCACTTCATGCACTGATTTTTGACTTTCTAAACGGCCTAATTATCTAAACGGTAATTATGAGAGAATGCCTTGAAGTTCATGCACTGGTTGGGGCAAGGGCAGACTTATTAATCTAACCGGCCGAGCATCTTGGTCCCATGCCTATTGATATATGCCACAGCCACTTCATGCACTGATTTTTTGGCTTTCTAAACGGCCTAATTATCTAGTCGGCAAGTATACAAAAGGTTTTATCCAAAACAGCAACCAAACAATTCCATTCATTAGTAACAGAAGAGTACAAAATGAATTTTCATTAAGTAAATTGGACACAAATTGTAACCATTTTACATATGAAAATTACTAAACAAAAAGTTGTAAAAAGTCGAAAATTACATGCAAATAGTAAAACAAAAACACAAGCCGCCCAAATTAGCCCTCGAAGTCAGACTCCAGCAGCTCAACATCCACTTGCTCGTATGAAATTAGCGTAGCCAATGTCACATCAGCAGCAGCAAAGGCTTTGAGCCAACTGTGTTTAAATTCTCGATTTTCAAATTTGGGGATTTCGTCTACATATTCATCAAAAGCAGACTTCTTCCCAGCATCGAATGCGCTGGCAGCCTTCAGGTCGGTTGTTTCCTTCGCCGCCTTCATCTCTTCCAACCCAGCCTCCAATTTAGAGATCGCCTCCTGGGCCAACTTAAGCGCGTCGTCGTTCGCATTCGCCCTCTTCTCAGCGACTGATCTCAATTCTTCAGCACTGCGGGCTCTCTTCATCTCGGCCTCGGCACAGGCGCCCTCCGTCTGTGCCCTACTCCTTTGGCCCTCAACCTCGGCTTGTAAATGGCCAATTAGCTCGACGACATCATGATAGCGACGGCACATGTCGGCTATCCTCCCGACGGCCTGCTGTAACAACCCTCATACTGTTTACTGATTAGGGACTGATTGAAAAAACAGAGTCTAGATATATACCAAAAGAGCCGATTGCGCGGCCAACCCAATTGCAACCAAATCAGGCTCTGCCCGAAAAGCCGCCTTGTCAGCAGGCAGTGAAACGGATGTCGCCAAGCTGAGTGCAACCGCTGGATCTTTGATTACCGAAGCATCGAAGGAGATCGGCATATTTTTTTATCTTGGGCTGAATAACAAAAGGTACAATCATATTCGACTCCTCCACACGAGGTCGTTTGTCCGCATGGTCTTCTTCTGAGCCAGCCTCGATGTCAGCAGGGCGCTTCTCCACCATTTTCTCAGCTTCTACACTTGCCTGCACAAAAGGTTCTGCCTCGAAACTTTTGTTCTTTGCCATTCCCTCAATAATAGGCAAGGAGGTCTTGGACTGAGATTCGGCAGCCCAAACCTCCTCCTCCCTTCGCCGCACGGCCGTCATTTCCGCATTCACCTTCTTGGCAAGTTTAGTGAGGCTCAACCTAGCCATATCTTCTGGGAACGCGCCGAGAAGGTCCTCCAGGCCGTGAAAAATATCATCGAGTGGATGGTCCTCTCGACCCGAAGTGGACAGTGGATCAGCTGAATTAAGGCAGGCTTCTTCAAATGCTAACTTCAAAGCCTCGTCAACCTTAGTTTCGGATTGGCCTGACTCAGCGACCTCAGCTACTTCCGGTCGCTCCGAATCTGATCCCTTGCAACTGACTTGCCTCAAATTTTTGAAATCAGTCAAGATAAGGGCGATAAGAGACTCCTCACCCTCCGGAATTAGGATGTTTTCCGCCATCAAAAAAGTCGTATAAATCGGCTCGTAGCGGAGCAGAACGTGGGCCGCCCTCCCTTGCTTCTGAAGACTCGGTCGGCTGAAATACTTGAGCGCAGTCTTGATTTCTGAAAGGATGGCGTCGTCGGTTGAGATCAAGACTTTCTTCAAATCGTTTCCTGCAAAAGCAAAACCATGAGGTCCCAAAAATAAAGTTTTATAAATATAACAAGTAAATAAATAAAAGAAGATACTTGGCCACCTGGTTTGCCCCTCTGTCTAGGAATGCAATCAAGGTGATCCTCCCCTTCGCCGAATTCCCAATTTCCTTGGACGACGACCATAACATCATTAACTTGCTTTCCGGAGCTAGAAAGCATAGTCACTAGTTGATGGTCGGTGTCTTTGGCCCTAAGGAAATAACGCCCGTGCCGATCAGAAGACTTGGCCAAGGCGTAGCAATGCTGAATAGTGGGAATGCCAAGGTTAAGCCTAAAGCTGCGGTTTAGTGCGATAATTCCCATCACGATCCTATAGAAGTTGACGTTGGGTTGGGAAGGGATTAACCCCCAATGGCAAAGCATGGCCCTAAGGAATGGGTGAAGGGGAAAGTGGACCCCACCCTCTGCGATTGATAGAAGAGGGAAGGCGATCATGGTTTCATCAACCCTCTCCATATCGAGGGTGTCGTCTGCCACAAATGACAGACGGACATCATCAGGAATGGAAAAATGGCGTCAGAAGCCAGAAATTCGATCCGGTGAGAGGAGATCTTTTAAATGTTTCGCCATTCCCCCAGCCAATAGAATTATGGTAAGCCAAAAAACAAAGCAAAGAATGAAAGAACTTACAAGAGGGGAAGGAGATAGAGAAGAGTAGGAAGTTGCAGAGGTAGTCCAGAAGGCAATCCAGCGACGGGCGTCTAAAAACATGAATGCATTTGAAAAGACGTCGAAATTTTAAATCACAATAAATAGAAATGTACGAAGAGGCGGGAAGTTGAAATGGCAACTGGGAAGCGTGTGTACAGACATTTGCGTTGGAATACGGTCAGCCGCCGAATTTCGACTTTGACCCTTCGAGTTCGAAGCCAAACATTCCCGCCAACTGTCGTTAGTAGAGTGCTTGGGGGGCAATTGTGGGGGCCGAGAAGAGGGAGTTGTAGAGATTCCGGATAGTCGAATCTCGGAGAGTCAAGATTCGAAGCACTTGGCAATTGGCTCACAAGCTCAAATCCAACCCTTTCGGCCAAATGACCGATTAGGAAAGGGGCCGAGTGAAGGTCGATCTATTTTAAAATGCGCCGAATATGAGTTGGAAATGGATCAAATCCCGAGGCCCATAGAAGAAAATATATAAATAGAAGAACATCAGCCAGAAAGAGGTATGTGAGAATTATTGTGCTTAACTTAGAATACAAGCATTCTTGAGTGTGGATTCTGACTTGTCCGTCAGAGTGCTAATTCCGGCACCCCCGACCGGAGTGTTTATTCCTTTTCAGGTGACCAAAAGAGGATCACCAGCGTTCTCCAGGATCAGAAGAGTATTTCCAAACCATTTCTCCACCAAAATTATACGAAATTAAATATAAAAATGTTGTAGTTGGATTATCATATAATGATTTTATATGATATATATATATATATATATTAAATTATAAGATTGTAAAATAAACATTCTTAATTAAATTAAAATATCAATTATATAAAAGAAATTCAACAATGACTTAACCAAGAAAGAATCACATAACAATATCTAAACCTACAAAGAAAAAGTAATGAAAACATCCAAACCACATATACATATCAATATGTGAAATGATTAATCATCTTAATATATGATGTCAAGATATAAAAAAAACTTAATGTTCAACAATTGAAAAAGTAGCTTAAACAGTAAATCCAAACTTTAGAAGCTTCTTGAGAATATCATTGTTGTGCAGTTTTTTCCTCATGTGAGTTGTGATTATATAAAATAATGTAAAAAATGAAATATAATTTCATATATAGAATCACTATAAAATTTAAACGAAAAATCCATAATATAGTTTAATATAGAATTTGTATAGGGTATAGAATAATGTATTGGAAAATAAGAAGATGAAAGAAAATAAGGCAATTTAGCATTAAAAGAAAATTCTAACACACTTTAAAGAATTAAGAAAAAAACGTGAAATGCAAAATTGGTATTGAGTTTATGGATTATCACAATTTATAATGAAAAATATATAGAAAAGAAATATTTGTCAAATAAAGTCCATATAAAAAAGATAAAGTTAGTATAATTTAAATTATGTTTAGATTTGTATAGAACTCTATATGTATTTATGTTAGAAAAAATTAAACGCTTATAATATGCCACTAACTATGAAAAAAAAATATTATTTTTAATAATATATATATATATATATATAATAGTCAGTCTACGAATACAGTTCTTGCCAATTTTAAATTGGGTACAATCAGAATTGAATTGTTCAATTTATTTTGTTTGCGATTTTTCTGTTAATCCATCCGTAGGGTTAGGTTAATAAGTTTTTTTAAAAAAATATATATATTTCTTGTTTATTTTTACAAAAGTAATACAGACCCCCATAGGAAACAACCCCCAGGACGCCTGAGCTGGCAACTGCCTTTAGCCATGTGAAGAATACTTGCATTGTGATAAGGTGTGCTACACATACCTGTGAGACAAAAAACAAAAAAATAAGCGGGAACTCATAACTCTGTTTGCCTATAACAGGAACCCAAGCCCTAAACCTCATCTTTTTCTCTTCCCTCGTCCGTCCACCCCTGTCACCGCCATAGCTCTCCTCCGTCAACGACCATAGCTCTCTAGGAACTTGTTGTTTCTCTCACTTCATCTCTGTCTCTCGCTCTCCTCAATTTTCGATCGCATTTCGATTGCATTTTCCTAGGTAATCTTTTTTCCCCAGCTCACTATCTAGTTAGGGATTTATGAGTAATGTACTCCAAAACCCCCCATTCTCTCTCTCTCTCTCTCTCTCATACACACATACACTCATCAATCTCTCTGTCTGTCTATATATATTATTATTATTATTTCATTTATGGGTTATCTCTCTTGCAATGCCAAGTGAAACAGACATTTCTGTGTTCAATAATCTTATAAATGTGTTCTTCAAAACACATTTTATATGCATGTGTTCTTTATTCAAAATAAGCGCAGACCTTAATAAAATGTGTGAACACATTTTACATATATGTGTGTAGACGTCCCCGAACGCCCCGGGAGGGTTGAGCTCCCGTTCTGTTCATTTGGGGTCACTACAGCTCGGACTCTTAAAATGTCACGGTTCTTAATCTGAACCAAAGAGTCCAAATCCGGCAAATCGTTTTGAGAAACTGATTTTTGAAAAAGTAGTGCCAAACATGGACTGCTTTGCCAGATACAGAGTCGCCACCTAAATATTTTATTTTGGGAAATTTAGGAAACCCTGACTCGGTGCCAAAAGGCCACGTGTCCGTCATCACCAAAGTTGCCTCGGCTCGGGAACTTGGGTACGATTGGGGAAGGTCACTTCGTGAGCCCACCTCTTGCATTAACTTCGGGTGGAGATTGCGCACAATCATCCGAATTTGATCTATGTCAGTGGGCCTTAAAGTCATCGTTGACGCCTTTGCCCTCCATCGGATCACAAAGTCCGAGAAAGATTCCTTGGGCTCTTGCCTTGTCGTTTCGAGATCACG